TCTGGTTCTAAATAAGATAAGGTAACAAGTCAATAACATATATATATATATATATATATATATATATATAATGTTATGAGATTTAAGTGACTTAGACTAAACATTTGTGGTTTCATGTTATAATCTGTAGTCATTTTAGAACAATAAAAGGGCAAATTATATCTATTTCTTAATTTTTTTATGGTGGTTATGAGGTTGGTCAAATCAACCAATCCCATAAGAAGCCAAAAATAACAGATAAAATTAAATTTGTTTTCTAAAAAATGCTTGGTAATTATCTGGAGGTTAGAGATTTTGCACATAAAATTGACAATTTTCTGATACATAAAAGTATTTTTAATCTTAAAATCAAAATTGGATAGTCAACATTCAAGAAGAAAAAAAATATCATATTTTGTGTGTACAATTGCCTTGCAATGTTAACTCATAATTTGCAAAATTTTGTGAAAATACATGTGCATTTTAAAAAATTACAGTAAAACTGCTTTATGGTTACTTTAGGGGATATGGGCTGGGTGGAATACACACACCCATAGTAAGAGGGATAAACTGAAACCCATCACATCTTGTCTTTCAAAAAATATCAATAATTCTTTGACATTTGCTATTGAATTACTTATAACTAATAGAAAGAGAAGCTTTTAATTTACTGAATTTCTAAGAAACTAGAATCATTCAGCTAACAAATTTTGAAAAATTTGACCTCAGTTTCTTTATTTCGTAAGTTCAGCTTTGCCAGCTAATGAAGTTTTAACCCAGTTATAGCTCAGTTAGAAAGTCAGTTAAATTACAGTTTTCAGACATTCCATTTATTGTGTTTGTCAATATCTTGTATTTTATGATGCAGATTTAATTTTTTTGTAAATAATGCTATATACTACCAACATCCCTACCAAAAATAGGTTTAAGGTACATTGAGACATTAATGATTGAGTGGAAGAACTAACACGTAAGTACTAAATGTCTTGTTTTTGTGTATATTTTCTATTTATTATTATAAAAGTAGTTAAAATGTAAAAACTAGAAAGTTATTAGGTTAGATAAGAAAATATAAAAGAAATAATTTATCACTGAGGCATGCTGTGAGCTGCAATTTAAGAAGTAATTCAATACTTTGTTTACCATAACTTGCACTATGCTTTTGTCTGTAATTAAGCCCAAAGCTACATAATGGGCTATCTGTCTTCTGCCCACCATGGGTATCGAAACCCGGATTATAGTGTTGTAAGTCCGCAGACATACCGCTGTGCCACTGAGGGACATGCTTTGGTCAAGTGAGTTTTTGCTTTGTTATGGTAGTTTGAAGTTATACACAGTTCAAAAGAGTTATAAAACAATAGAATTAAATTAAAGCAGCTGTGAAAACATTAGAGGACAGATGTTTGGGTACATAATTGCAATGGGACTGAGGCCATGCTGAAAGAGTTAATACAACTTTCATTTTTTTGCTATTTTTGAACACCAAATTTAAAAAACAAAATCTCAACAACATTCACAGTAGTAACATGCAACACTACTAAACTTGTTCTTAAAGATAATACATGAAAACTTACATGGAAAACTCCGGCACAGTTCATCTATTGGGGTAGACATCTTCTTTTCACTGATTCTTTCATACTTCTGTCGTTTGGTGGCAGCTCGTAAGCCTTGCCATGGTAGACTGCCACGATTAAAGTACATCAAAACATAGCCTAATGATTCTAAGTCATCTCGCCGGCTTTGTTCTGAAACCAGTTAATCAAGATTTATTAACATCATATGAAGTTTAATTACACACACAATTTATTTCTTAAAGTAATACGTGCAACTTATTGTTTATTCTGTTAACCCATTACAAACCTAATGAACATAAACAAATAAATACTTGGGTATAACCAATTTTGCCTTTATGTATTACTAGCTAGAATACCCGTCCAATTGATGGGTGAAATAAAAACTCATTTGTAACAAAGGATAGGAAATTGTGCTTGTATTTTTTTTTTCCTTAACACAATAAACATTAAAAGCGCAATAAAAATACATAAGGGTATCAATACTAAAAAGAAAGACATACTGTTTTTCAAGAATCTAACAATAGCGGGAACATAGTTCATTCTGATGCTGAAAGATATACAACATTGGTAGTTTTTCCAAAACTAGATGGGGAAAGGAGTTGACAGTTTAAAACCAGTGGAACTCGCACTTAACATTATACGAGAAACAATGGTTAGCAATGAGCTGCGAAGCAAAGTAGATTTTATTATAAAAAAGAATACAAATCTGCATACAGTACCTTCACAAAAGCAACCTGGTGTTTGGAAAGGACAAAAACCTAAGAACTAAGGTTCGATGAGAAGACATGTCTTGCCCCAGACATTACACACAAAAACTGTTCAACTAGCCATGTATCAACCACATCTGCACTTCAACTATTTTTCTAAACTATTTATGTATAAAATTGCTTGACAGTCATGGCTTTGTTGGTTACAGGTCTCAAATAACATACAAGTCACCATAAACAATTAAATATACTGCAATCAGTCCTATTAATTACTAATGGAACTTCCTAGGCACTTAACATGGAAAATGAGTTATTTTCCCCATTGTTTCATTCATTACATTAGGTATTTTACAACAAGCAAACTTCATCAAATTGATGTAATATATAGACCCTTCTGACAGTGAACAGTATAAAAACAAACTAGTAGCTTGAAGGTTAAGGACCTATAAAATTTCCTAACTTCAGTAAAAGAATTTTACAGAATTTCTACTAGGTTAGTGTCAATATGTTTTTGCCTGTTAAAGTTTTACTGGCTACTCATGTATATCTTCTAGAGTCAAAGTGTTAAAAAATAGTAGTAGTTTTGTAAAAGTCTGTATGATAAATGTAACATGCCATTGGAATGAATCACAAAATCAGCAAAAAACAACGTAAGGGGGGGGGGGGGTCCATAACTCTAATATTAACAGTTGAAGTCTTATGTTCAAGGATTTCTAAGTACACTTTACACTTATTTTCTGAATACTTTAAGTTCCTCACCTATGCCTAAATGTGTATTTATACTGGCATATCGAGCAGTTCCGGTCAGATTTTTATTTTCCCTGTAAGGTATGTGCTGGTGGGTACGAGAGTCTCTGTACTTCTTAGCTAGACCAAAGTCTATAATATACACCAGGTTTCCTTTCTTTCCCAATCCCATCAGAAAGTTGTCTGGTTTAATGTCCCTATGGATGAAGTTTTTGCTGTGGATGTACTCTATTCGGCTAATCTGGTAGAGAAAATAGTTAGTAGTAAAAATTTACACCGATCAATAAATAATAATAAAAAAGAAGCTGTAAACATCAAAAATACATTAAGTGATTCCAACCTATTATGATAAACTTACTTGTTATATATTTCAAACGTTTGCCACCAGAGGGAGTTCAATCAAAAACTATATTATTCATAATAATTATTACAAATAGATACTTCAAAACCATACTGCAGTTTAGATGTGGAAGTTAAAATATTACACTAAAGAGTTGCTACTTTACTGTCATATAAAATTTTTGACAAATTAATCTCATTCATACAGAAAGAACAATGTTGTATTTTGTGAACTTACACAAATTCTGTAATTTTTATAAAAAGGACTATTCCAGTTCAAGTTACTTCTAAGCATAAACCTTAAAATATTATACAAATTATATATATATTACATAACTCTTATATCATTGAAAAAAAAAATGCAGTTTTTAAATAATTTCATAATAACATAATGTCAATTATTATTTTCACTTTATTTTAGTATTGGTTACGATTTCTCACCAAATAATGCAGGTATTTCACCTACTACATTTACAGCTATTTTCAATATTTTATATCCGGATACAAAAAATAATAATTTAGCATTTAAACTACACAAAACTATGATGCATAAGATGGAGTATTACAGTTTAAGCTGTGGGGGGAGAGGGGTATTTAAACACTTCTAAACAGTAACATATGGCAAATTGAGCTACTTTCTTTGATTATAGTGTGTGTTTAATGTATATTTTTAAACAACCAGTGTGTGTGTGTGTGTACTATGTTTTTTAATGCATAGCAAATGTTCCTTAACTTGATATATTACACATAAATCACTTGAAGCCAAATATAATTATTCATAATACACACTTTGATCAGGATCAATCATTAACATAAGTGTTCAGGGTGTTATTTTTGTTTTTTTACAGTAGTAGTTGCAAACATTTAATGAACAAGTTTCTGTACAATACATACTATCTCTGATGCAGTAAAACAGGCTAAACAGTATGCACTGTAGTGAAATATTACTATAAGAACTGTATGTTTTAGTTAAAAATACTTTCTTTAAGGGTTAGGGTTAAAAAGTCAATGTTTAACATCAAAATGTTACTTCACAAGTTCACTGAAGAATTCAAAATACTGAATATTCATTTTGTATTCCTTGTCACTTAAGATGTTAATCTTTGCTATGAATATTAAATCCAGTTGCTCTATGTGGTTTGATGGATGATTTCACATCTTTCTGAGTCATTTGTTTTGGATATTCACACAAGGAAACATAAGTGCTATCTGGAATATCCAAACCTGCTAGTCACCAGCTAAACAGCATCCACCATCAACTCTTGTGCTGCTCTAAATGAAAAGTGGGTTTTAACAGCCACTATTATAATGTGGAGAGTACAATTTTGTGGCAATGGGAAGAGAGCCATAGATTCTTGGATTACAGTCTGGTTTGCTAACTACTAGGACACACATGCCCCCCTATAGTAAAAAAACCTTATGAACTCTTTAACTATAGTTACTACACAGCTCTTAATTATAAACTATAATTTCTATTGGACTTTAAGAACTTAAATGTTCATAATTATTTTAGTTGCCGTAATAAATTTCCCAAGATTTCTTAGATGAAAAGAAAGCTCTAATAATTTATTCTATAAATAATAGAACAATCCATATTGCACCATTAAAGTGATTATTACAGACCTAGGGTTAGTATAATTATTCTTGAATGTGTTAATCTGGCAGCTTCTATCATTCTAAAAGGTCTATAAATGAAGATCTGCATGAAATTATTCACTTTTGGACCACAGATTCTGTTTCTCTAATTTAAGGTTACTCCACTTACTTCAAGCTTAAAAGTTTTCCGATATGGATCTTCTACCATATTAAGTTTTTTTATACGACTGTTAGTATTTTAACATAAGTTATTTCTTTCTGTCAAATATTAAATTTCACTTACTAAGCTTCTTCAAAAATGTTGGCACCATCAACTGTATTATATTAAAATATACGCTATTTCTTTGTCACATTTTAATACCCCCCCTCAAATTTTTATTTACTTCCTACGAGTCCAATACCCTAATAATAAACATTTCTTATGTATCATCATCTTATATACAAAGCTTTTTCAAACCTATTATTATTATTATCAACTGTATGCTATTTAAGTATGTTTTTTTTTAAATCATTTACCACCTTGGAATCCAATGGCCTAATAATAATTCTTTCCCTTCAACTTTAAATAACTAGACTTTATTTTAATCAACTGTTTCCAAATCACAAAAAAACTGGCCTAAACATATATCAAAGGCCTGTAAACAACCAATACATGAAAATATTGATCAATTTGTCCCATTACTTAAGTTTCTTTAAAGATTTACAATACACTTTACCATAGTGCATTACAGATCAGTCTTGGTAAAACTAGGCTTTACAACGTGCACGTGTAACTTCTTATTTTTCTAATGTTTCAACCATAACTTCAAAGACATCTAAAACATGAGTAACTTCCCTCCTTTATACAAAAAACTTGGCTGTGACTGCTTCTATAAATCTGATTCCATAAACAGCACACTATTAATCTATAAACACCCCACACACACAAACATACACAGCTGTCAACAACTTCATACCTTGAAGTAGTGAATGTTCTTTTGGAAGATGAATCATAATAACTACACATTTTATAAACAGCACACTATTAATCTATAAACACCCCACACACACAAACATACACAGCTGTCAACAACTTCATATCTTGAAGTAGTGAATGTTCTTTTGGAAGATGAATCACAATAACTACACATTTTTCTAAAATTTGTGAACTGAAAAAGCGTAATTATTATTTCATTAAAACTTACAACTTTTACAGTGAGGAAGGATATTTTTACAACTGGTATGATGTTTCAATCACTAGTGTGAACATTCTCAAGTACACTTTTAATGCAGACAAGAATGTTCAGACAGCAGCAAATGAATAAGAAGGCACCAATATTTTGGCCAGAATTGAGGGAAATTATTTGTAGCCTATTCAACTAATCAGGGCATTGTTCTCACCAACTAAAGCACTGAGCATCAGATTCCTTGGTGCTAATAAAGTCTTCTAATAGACACACATAAATTGTGAACTCTTTATTTAAAGTATGGTGAACTAACATTTGTTATCTCAACTACTACACTGATTTATATCATAACGTTCAAACAGGTTATCACAGCATTAAAACTTCAGTATTTTAAGTTTAAACAAAAAGAAAATTTATGATCTTCCCAGTGTCAATTTTTGCCAAACTTGTGTATTTTTGAAACATTAAAATTACAAATTGTTGCTGATTAATTCATATCCAGTAGGATACCTGTGTTTCATATTCACTTTTAAAGACTGAACATTGTTGAGACTACATGGTTGATCAATGTCATCTTCAATAAAAAGCTGATTAGTATTACCTTGTAACATCAAGTTGAATGTTGTTGAAACTAAAGGATGATTAGTATTACCTTGTAACATCAAGTTGAATGTTGTTGAAACTAACGGCTGATTAGTATTACCTTGTGACATCAAGTTGAATGTTGTTGAAACTAACGGCTGATTAGTATTACTTTGTGACATCAAGTTGAATGTTGTTGAAACTAACGGCTGATTAGTATTACCTTGTGACATCAAGTTGAATGTTGTTGAGACTAAAAGCTGATTAGTACTACCTTGTAACAAGCTGAATATTGTTGAGACTAAAGGCTGATTAGTATCACTTTGTAATAAATATTGAATGTTACAGAGGCCACTTGGCTGATCAAGGAGACCTCGTAACAATAAACTGAATGTTGTTTAAGAAAGATAAAAGGCTGATCAATGACACCTTGGTAGTAAGCTGAATGTTGTCATTTCCCCAAAGTGCTGACCTTTTTTTACTTCTGTGAGATCCACAAAGTTAGCAACTGTTGTATTCTGTTTCTATTGTAAGTTATTTGGTGATTATTGGATGAGCATTTTACACAAAGTTTCTCCAATATTACAATATATATATAGTAGTTTGTAATAAAAACTAAATAAGGAAAAGTAAATATCAACTGCCATTGGCTGTGGAATCTCTTCAAATCCAAAGATGGCAGTGCACATTAAAAATAAAGTCACTTGGTTGGTTGAAATCATAAGGTATCCCTCAGAAGCACCAATCAAAAATGTGGAAACAAAAAAGTGTGGAAATGTTTGATAAGTCATCAATTTATAGTAAGGGAAATCTCTACATTTATCAGTTGCGTGAAAAGGATTTCTCAGGAATCTTTTTCAAAAGGTTCTCATGCATGACTGACAACTGAAAACAGACTGTAAGACAAGTAAAACTGTTTGACGTGATAGAAACACTTGCAACAATTAGTCTTTTATGAAGAACTCTACATTCATAAAATGGGAAATAAAAAGAGAAGAAATTTTTTATTTTACATTATATAAAAAGAAATTATTATTACTAATTTGTTTTAACTTTTATGAATTTCAGTTTCAAAATATAAAATAAGGTATACCAATATCCAATATGGCCACGCTGAATAACAGGAACTTACTGTGTGAAATTTTGACTTAACAGTTATTATTAATTTGATAAGTAAGTGTGTTTATAAAATGTTTATATTTTTGAAATATGTTGAATGTATCTGTACCATGGACTAAGTTTTTAGTTGCAGGGTCCAGTAAGTCCTTATAACATTTTCACCTTTGCTTTTTTTTTGTTTTGTTTTCTCTACCAGGACAATTCAAAAATAACAGTTCTAATGTTCTGCATGTGTATTACATATTTCTTCACCAAAGTTGTTCCAAAACTATTGAATTTACCACAAGATGAAAAGCAACTTTCCAGTCAAGTTTACCTTGAAAATGTTTCATGCAAAATTGTTTTAATAAGGTGAAAGGAAACTCACCAGTTGATCAGCTAGAAGTAGTACAGTTTTAAGGCTAAATTTACGATTACAAAAGTTGAAGAGGTCTTCTAAGCTCGGCCCAAGTAGCTCCATGACCATAACATTGTAGTCACCTTCTGAACCACACCACTTAATGATTGGTATGCCAACTGAAACAAAGAAATTTAAGTTAGCCTGGAATTACAATATATGTTTTTCACTTGTAGATAGAATGCAATACTAATTATGAAAACACTTATTTCTCAAATATGTCTTTTTGCACATTGAAAAATAGTTTAGCAGCTACAAGTTATGTAAATTTACTTACACACACACACACATAAAAAAATAATCACTATTTATATTACGTACTCATAATTAAAAATAAAGACAATTTAAATTTGTTTATTAATGCTAATTAACAGATGTTGGCCATGAGCTGTTCATGAATCAATTAATATTCAAAATGTAGTCTGTTTTTTGTCAAAAGAACAAGAGCAAAATATGACTGGAACACTATCCAACACAAACCTATGGAAATTTACTATAAACACTGGAATACCAAGTTCTAATAATGCAAGTATACCACTATATATTTATTCTCAATAATGTTGTTAATGCAAAAAAAACAAAAAACATAATACTTTTTTTTGTTTACTACTCTTATTATTTTCAAGTTTATACATTCAACCAAGAACAGAATTCCAGGAGTTTACACTGACGTTCCTGGAAGGAATTATCTATTTTCCTGGACTTGTTTCCTGATTTACATGAAACACAACAAGTATTCACTCAAGCCAACTAAGTTTGTTTAATAATTATTAAACAGAAATATTAAAATCAGGTATAGTTCTTTTAAATTCTCATTTAAATTATTAGAATAAATAAGCATTAAAGATTATGAAAAGCATCAGGCAATAAAAATGCTTAAAATTTCCTTAGAATGTCAACGGATAAAATTGGAGTGGGAAATGTACATTTTCACACACATAATTTAAAGTAAGTATGTTTTGCTGTACTTGATATAAATTGTAAAGGACAAAATATTTCTCCACCTTTTATCCTGTCAACTGCCAAAGGTCAACCTTATGAGTGTTCATACAGCTGACATGGAAACTGCAAACTGTTAAGCTAGATAATACATGCAAAGGAGGTAATCTGTGGATAACTTAAGTATTTAGGATACAGGTATATATACACACACACACTTTATTAATACTACATACATACGTACGTATACATGTAGTAGTAACAACAAATATGCAATTACAAAATGAAACCTTAACATCAACAGATGCAAGTTGGCAAAAGTCATCAGCAACTATAAAAATATGAAGAGAAATTATCTTAAAATGTAATCCAAAAGCCTGAAGATAAGAAATGGCAAAAAAATGTCAAACTATACAGTCATGAGTGGTGTATAACTGAGTACTAGCATTCAAATATACCTTAAAATATAATCTCAAAATCCTCAGTCAATATGATTCTATGAGATATTGTTTTCCCATAAGTATAATGTACAGTCGGTTTTACAAAGGTTAAAATATTTTATGTTTGTTCTATTATTCTAAACTTTTTTTTGGAAAGCCCTTAACATCAGCTTGAGATGTTTTATTAACTTACAACATAATGTAAATAGAATTGTTTGGCATACTGTTTTTCTCAATCTTAAATACATAGCCATCTGTATGTGATAAATCATTTTCACTTAAATATTTTTTATTGTCCAGTATTAATTCTTTGGTCCATAAATGATTGAAATGTCCAAAATTAAAAATCCACATCTGAAACTCTGTAGCTTAGCAGCTTGAAAGTCACTTTTGCTTGGGCTCAGAGTAATAAGCTGATTAGCTTTAACTAGCCTGTAACCCACAAAATACAACTTTGATCAAGGTGAAAAAAAAACATTGCTTCACCATATAATCACTTAAGTACCTAATTAACTATATTTACTGCCTGCCTGAATAATCCAAAACTTCCACATAAATTCGTAAAATTGAGCTATATCATTCTAAACTTGATGTTTCAGGCTATAACTGCATCATGGTGAAGTTAATAATTGAACAGCAAGTCCAACAGTAAAGTTAATAAACACAATGGCATACTCATTCCATCAATATTTATTCCAACATGACATTATTCACAGGGTTGTCCAGTAAAGTGTTGAGCATGGAAAATTAGTTCCTTATCAGATGGAACATAAGACAGAACATAATTATTGAAACACACATGTGAACATTAAAATATATACCATTTATCACACTATATCTTATATTTATACAAATTACCGCTTAGACATTATGTACAGCTGTTTCAAAAATACCTTTATTAACCTCTATACTCATACTGACAAAAGTAAGACACCATTACTTTCAAATTACAAGTAAAAGTTTTCATAGATCAAACAGAAACTGTTAAAGTAATTACTTCAACTCCTATTTTGAAGTTTGTTAATAAAAATATTTTAACAAATTTTATTTTTACAGGAACCACGTGAACCCTGTTACAGGTACTCTGTGACCATTTAGTTTTAGCTTTTACACCGACACTTAAACTCTTATCATACTGATTTAAGGCCTGCATAAAATAAAATATAAACTCAGTTATAAAAGACAAGCTGTTATTCTAGTCAGACTCAGTTGCAGATATGAACAGACAAAACCTAATGAAAGATTTATATTTATAGAATACAAAGAACTTAATGATTAGTTAAACAAAAACAATGCTTACCTCCACCCTGCATCATTTTGTAAAACTTGCTCTCGATATGTAATTGTGGATGTTTGGTTTTGATACATTCTAATTTGATAGCAACTTCTTCACCTGTAGTTATGTTGGTTCCTGTTGTCACAAAAATACAAGAATTATTCTTTCAAAAATATACTCAATGAAAACTTCTGATTAACAATTTTTTAAAAATCAGCTTGCTTGTATTTTTGGCCAATAAAAAAAGTTATTTTTATTGCACGTCAGTAATCATAAACACAGTGAAACAATTCTGAATCAAAATAAAGATAAAATTCAGTTCTATAGAATAATAACTTTATTGTCAAGTTCTACAAGGATGGAGAAGACAATCAGTAGTTGAATTCTACAACAAAGGTAAACAATGAATGTTTAAAAACAAGTGCAATAAAATCCTAAGTTTTCAAAACAACAAATTCTTATAAATATAACATCAAAAAATATTTTGTTTTGTAGAAGCTACATACTGTGCAGAAAGTTCATCTCAAGTTTTAAAGAATTTCCAGTATTTTTTTAATGCAATAAAACAAGTCATACAAAATTTGTTCATTAACAGTCCCTAAGTTGCACTTATACTACAACTTTCCAGTTGAATACCATTGCCTGTAAAGCAAAGTGAAATGCTAATCAGTTATTTGAAAAGACCTGAGTAAACTTGTTCTCTACAGTGTCAAGGACTTCCTGCAGACCTACAAATTAGAACGATACAGATCACATTTTTTAATAGCTGCTTCGAGAAGAGTTGTGTGTTGTTGTTTTTTATTGGTGTTATACACTACGTTTGATATTAAAATCAAAATTGCTACCAAATAATTCCCCTACCAGTGATATAAGATTTATGTATTTTTGTTTTCTTTCTTGCAATTTATAGTAATAGATACACTATAACCTCAGTACTTTCAAAAGGTGGATCATTCTTCTTCTGGTCTACCTTTCAAAAGCATTCAGGTTATTGGTTATTACATTTTTGAGTTAAATTGATTATTTTAAACCTACATGTTTTCCTAACATCATGAAGATACAGCTCTAAAAATAAACTAGAAATAAAAAAACTATAGATATCGATAATCAAAAGTTAGATATCTGCATTCAAATGATAGAAATCTACAATCCATTGTTCAGATTCTGCAATCAAATGTTAAAATTCTGCAATCAACTGATAAAACCGGTACAACACTGAGTGAGACGATAACTGCTTCGAGGTTTCACGAGAGAAAAAATGGATTATGAACCCCTTTTAGCCTGACATAACGAGTGGGATATCGATAAAAGCTGAGGAAGAACTTTTTGATTTATCTGAGGACGCTTTGTTAGAAATGAACTTTAACAGCAGAAAACTGATACAGTTCTGGGTGTCTGTTCGAAAACCGTACCCAATCCTTTCCACTGAAGCTTTGAAGGTACTTCTCCCTTTCTCATCTTCATATCATTGT